GTGTTTGCCAAGATGCGGGATTGGGAGTTCCGCTGCGCAGCTTCTGAAGGCTTGTCTTGTTACCGGCCACTTCGGATGTTTGTCTCGGAGCTGGACCTTGGCCAGAAGCGCGGGCGGAGAACGATTGACATTGGAAAGGCCGAGGCCGCCCGCCAGTCTTTCCTGGCCTTGTGCCAAGTGTTAGACGCGCTGCAGGCGCCCAGCGCAGACTTGGCAACTTTGATACCTCAGCATCTGCGGCTGTTCAAGCTGGCCCACGGCGAAAGCAAGTGTCTGCCAAAACACCACATGGCAATGCGCTTGCCCGAGCAACTTGCTCGCCACAGCCTGCTAGTGAGCTGCTGGATTCACGAGCGCAAGCATAAAGAGGTGAAGCGATTTGCGAACCAGCTCCACAACCAACCCCGCAGCACGGAGCACACAATCATTCGGGATGTGTCGCTGTGTCATTTTCAGGATTTGGAAGGTTACAGCTGCAACACTCACTGCGCAGGATCTCGAGCAATGCCAGCCCCCGACGTTTTGCGGCTTGCCTTTGCAGGTCAAATTGGCGTCCAGGACGTGCCAGGCTTGACCTACACAACCGCAGCTTTCTTATGCTCTGGCGAAAGCTGCTCCAGGGGCGATGTTGCCATTGCCGCAGTCCAGGGGCAAGAGCAAGTTGCCCAGGTTTGGGCCCACATGGAGTGGGATGGTGCTATGTACACATGCATTTCAGTCTGGCCCAAAGTCGAGCACGCGCGTGGGAACCGGTTTGAAGTTTCTGACGCGCCAATGTTTATCCGTTTGCGCGATCTTCGAAGGACGGTCATCTACAAGAGAGAAGCCAATGGAACAGCTTTGGTAGTTCCATGACCTTGTGCAGGCTGAGAGCAGTGAGCAGTGTTTCAAGCAAAAGTTTGGTGAGCGCTTTGCCCATGTGCTGAGTATAGCTACAGTTTGATTTGGCCACGAGCATTTCCGGGACCCTTGCAGCGCGCGCCTTTTTCTCGCCCCTCAAAAACCAAGGCTTCGTGGCAACGAGCTATAGTTGTTCTCGTGTCGCTTGGTAGTTTAAACGGTATCACCCGCTATAGGGGTAACAAAACATATAGAAAAGCAAAGATGCCGCTTTAGGGAAGCTTATAGTAACAAAGCATGCGCGTGCGCAGTTATTAGGCCGCAATGGTTTGCGACACAACAAGCCAAACTTGCATCACGGGTCAAACGTAGCGGCTTGCATTCGCATGTTGTCTCAGCTTTCATTAACCGGACAGCCCGCCGTAGGACAAGTTTGAACTAGCCCGAAACCTGGCGCAAGCAGACCCCGAAACGCAGCTTGTAGAGTTTGACGTTTGTGTACGGCGAGCTTGCAAGTGCATGTCAGTCCAGCTTTGGCCAACAAAGACGGGAATTTTCAGTCAATGCCAAAAGCGCTCGGAAGTTCACAACATTCTACCGAGCCCAAAACCACCAGCAACCCGCATGCGCGTGGCGAAGAACCGCCGAAGCGTAAGATAATTCGGAGCCTGGCTGTGCCTTCCGCAGGGCCGGCGTTGTGAGTTTTGAGGCTGGTTTTGGAAGTGAGCGGCGAGTTGGCAAACTTTCCGTGTGAGAAGGGCGAGCGGGAAGCTTCAGAATTTCCAGACGCGTGTCTTGTTGATTTTCAACATTGCGTTTTTTTCGGGCGAGCCTCTGCCAGTGCACATTTCGCGCAGCATGTTTAGCCACGCTTGCTTGCTGCTGCATTATTTGCAAGCGCGCTGCTCAGCTTTCAAGAGTGTTGAAAAAACCCAAAGGACTTTGCTGCTCTTTGCGTTTTGTCTTTTTTTGCGCGGGGGCGAGGGCGGTGTTTTTGTTGCGCGAACGAAAGCTTTCGAGCGTGCTGAAAGGTTTGCAGCAAAGATGGCAGAAAGAGCTATGTCCACATAGCGCACCTATGTGTAGTCGGCGCAACCTACTTAGTATGTAGGTTGCAAACTCCGCAAATGTGCGGCTATGTGCTTTTGTAAGTGCACATGACGTATGTCCTGCAAGTGCACATACTGTATTCCCCGCAAGCACACAGCAAGCCACGCGTCCGGATAGGATGATGGGCACGCGTTTAGCAAACGCGGCGGTCATCCAAGTACTTGGATGTGCAGCCGAGGACGCCACTGCCGTATTCGGCGCCGCGGCGGAGCGCTACGCGCGGCTCGTCGGGTGTGTTTTTTAGTGCCGATGGGGGGGCCCGGGGTTCAAGCCGTTCTCCTATAGACTTTCGGCGGTTGCCATTTTCGTGAAAGCCGGTCTATGGACTGTGGGGGATTTGCTCTTTGCTTGGTTACCTGAGCGCATTGTCCACACCGCGCCATGCCATTGTTTGAGCATATATTTGTTCAGCAAGTAAAAGGCAAAGCCGTAAATCATTTGCCATGAATCTGTAAACGAACTAAGCATGACACACATAATGCGCACGCTGCAAAACAGGGGTTTTGAAAATATAGCTATGTCGCTTTCAAAACAAAACGCCGCGTGTGTCAGAGCTACGTTTGGGGGCTATCGCAGACGACGCAAAAAGCTAAAAACTAGCGCCCACGTGTTTTCCAGAAGGCCTGATTGATTTGTTTGCGCGACGGAAAGGCAGAGCCATTGTTGCCTGCCCCAATGTTGATTGACAAGATTTCCGTGGCCTGCTTGAGTTTAAAGGTGCTTCAAGCTGGCTGAGGGGGACAAGGCGAACCGTAAAATCGGGAAAGTCAGTGTGGGAGGGCCAGAGCCTTCAAACGTGGTGCTTCAACTTGGTGCTTCAAAGTTGGTGAAGGAAAGATGGTGCACAAGCGCCTGTTTCATATGGTACTGCACGCAAGCGCCATTCATGCCAAGGTGCTGCAAAAGCGCTTTCAAGGCTCAGGCAAATTGCTGCAAACGTGCCACGCGTGAGTGGGTGCTGCAGAAGCGGTACTGCAGAAGTGCCCCAAAAACGGTCACGCCCCAGAAACGGTGCTGCAAAAGCGATGTTAAAGCGCGGCGCTGCAAAAGTGCCCCAAACACGGTGCTGCATAAACGCGAGTGCACGGAGCCCTTGACGGAACCTCATTGGGTGGCGGCGTGCAGTGGGCAAGAGGGTGCGCATTTTGCTGTTCAGGGTGGGACGGGGTACATGTGCGTAACCTTTTTCATTTGGGACGCGGGGCTTGTTCAGCACAACCCGCCCCGCAATATCAGTTGACCCCGGCTTGGCACCCTAGAACTCCCCAAGCTCAAAAATCACAGGTGGGGAATGGTCGTTCGCTGGCTCAATAATCATGCTTGACAAGGTTTAAGCGGCGCTTGCTCAGCACCAGCTACCCTGCCCAAGCTTAATTAGCTTAATTGTTGTTTTTGTATCGTCGATCGTGGCTGTTCCCAAATTCCGTGCGCCTAAGGATAGTAACCTTGGGAACCCACCTGCCAGCGCCGTTTGGATCGCCTGCCGAGCTCCGCACGCTGAGCCGCGTGTATTGACTTGCAGTTATGCCTTTGGCCTTAAATTGCAAAAATATCCGGCCCGAAGGCCCCAACAAGGCAGAAAAGAATACCAAACTGCAGGCTGCAGCCCAACTGCTGGCCAAATGGCTTCAAATTACCAAAATTTCAAGCCTAAAGGCCTAAAGGCCCCAGCAAGACAAAAGGCAGAAGGGAACATCAAACTGCAAGAGCTGCAGCCCAACTGCTGGCCAAATTGCATTTTCAGGCCCAAAGCCCCTGCGAAGCAGAAGGGAGCACCAAACTGAAAGAACTTCAGCACAGCTGCTGGCCAAATGGCTTCAAAATCACATTGTTTCAGGCTTTCCGCCTGTCACGAGCGTTCCCCCGCGCCAGTCTCGCTCGCGGGCGGTTTCCGCATGTCACGAGCGTCCAACGCGCCAGTCTCGCTCGCGGGCGGTTTCCGCATGTCACAAGCGTCCACCGCGCCAGTCTCGCTCGCGGGCGGTTTCCGCATGTCACGAGCGTCCACGCGCCGCGCCAGTCTCGCTCACGGGCGGTTTCCCCATGTCACGAGCTCGCTCGCGGGCGGTTTCCGCATGTCACGAGCGTCCACCGCGCCAGTCTCGCTCGCAGGCGGTTTCCGCATGTCACGAGCGTCCACCGCGCCAGTCTCGCTCGCGGGCGGTTTCCGCATGCCACGAGCGACCACCGCGCCAGTCTCGCTCGCGGGCGGTTTCCGCATGTCACGAGCGTCCACCATGCAGTCTCGCTCGCGGGCGGTTTCCCCATGTCACGAGCTCGCTCGCGGGCGGTTTCCGCATGTCACGAGCTTCCACCGCGCCAGTCTCGCTCGCGGGCGGTTTCCGCATGTCACGAGCGTCCACCATGCAGTCTCGCTTGCGGGCGGTTTGCGCATGTCACGAGCGTCCACCGCGCCAGTCTCGCTCGCGGGCGGTTTCCACGTGTCACGAGCGTCCAGCGCGCCAGTCTCGCTCGCGGGCGGTTTCCGCATGTCAAGAGCGTCCACCGCGCCAGTCTCGCTCGCGTGCGGTTTCCAGCCAGCCTCGCGCGCCCATGTCTGCGCCACACCGCCGTCCCCCCAGCCAACCAGTCTCGCTCGCGGGCGGTTTCCAGCCCAGCCAGTCTCCGCAAGCGCGGGCAGTTTCCAGCCAGCCTCGCCCACCCAGTCTGCGTCTTCCCAGCCAGCCCCACACCGCCGTCCCCCCAGCCAGCCTCGTACGCCCGGTCTGCACCCCCAGCCGGCATCGCACGCCCGGTCTGCAGCACAACGAAATGGAAATCCGTTGTCACAGCTTGTATCGCTCCCAGGCACCTTAAGAGAAAACCTAAAGCAGAACCCAAGCATCAGAGATGCTTTTGGGAAAAACAAAACCACTGGGTGGACCGAATTGCCCATGTCCTCTTGTCCGCTGCGACATGTGGGGCGCTTCTTGGGACCCTTTAGGTTGAAGGAAATTCAAAACCGCCGCCATGGTCACCGGACACATGTAGCAATTCAGTTCAATTGGGCGCTCCAACTTGTTGTCCAGAATGAAGTTTCACCTTGGCCCATGTGGGAGTTTCTCAATGATGGGACCTTTTGTTGGTTGGAAAGACAAAGGGAAGCTGGAAGGACACTCACCATTCATGGGTCCACAGTTTGGGGGTTGATCAAAAGGTCCTTTACATGGGATGACCTTTGCGGAACCACCAAAAAGGATATTTTCCCACATGGGAAAAGTTACCCATGGTCATTTGCGGGGCAGGAATACTGATCAACCCCCATTTGGAGAGACACCGGGCAACGCATTCGCTGCCAGCGTCACCTTCTGGGAAGACTTGCTGCTGGCTGGTTTGGCAGAGGCCGGGCGGACTTGCAAATCCGCGGGCGTTCCCTCCGAAATGTTTCTCAAAATGGTGGACCCCTTTTGGTTGGTATTGAAAGGGACGCCCAAAAAAGACAAAACAACAACAACAACAACCAAAAAAACACGCACACAAGGAAACCATTTGGAGCAACGCCAACTCCAGGAATGCTATAGGAATGCTGCTTCTTCTTCTCACACCCCAGAAGAATTTCCCCAGAGATTGCGACGAGTTTCTCCGCATCGCGCGCCCGGGAGTCCGCGTCAGCAGCTTGAGGCTCACTTCCAGTTGGTGATCTCCAGATGGGCGGTGCCAGCCAGTCCCTCCGGCCGGGATTGCGGGTACAAAGGGAAGGGATAGTCCAAACCAATGGGTGCAGATATGCGCGCCTTTTCAGCTGTTCACATGGGTTTGGGATTGCGGCCAGTTTTCTTGGTGGTTCCCAGCCATCCGAAAGGTTCCTTAGCCTTTCAGCAACTTTTAGTGTTTAGTGGTTGGATTTGTATTTAACCCACTAAAAGTTAGCCACTTTTAGCAGGGGATCTGAAAACAGACAGTCCAGTTTTGATACCAGGGTTTGATTGTGACTCACCTGCCACAGGTTCCAAAAGAAGAAGTAGATGGCCCTTTGCCCACGGAGATGCGACTCATTGATTTGTGGGAGGAAGGATCGCAATTCGCACACCGGTGGTTTTGCGGATGAGTCCAGAACCGTGTCCCCAATGGATGGAGCATTTGCCGCGTCAAAGCCAAAACTTTCTTGTGGGATTTCTTATAAGTCATCAACGGGCGCCAGAGCTGTAGGATTAATGGGTGGACATGATGGCCGTGGGGATTAATGTGCACCAGCAACAAGCGAGCTGGTTTCCAAGGGGAACATGCATGGTTTTTTCTCGACCCTACCAGCTGTTTGGTTGTTTTTTTTGCTTCAAGCCACCTTTTTGTGTGTTTTTGCTTCCCTAGGCAACCCCTTTGCGGGGTTCTGCTTGCCTAGGCAACCCTTTCGTAGGCTACCCTTCCGAAAAACGGGACGATGCCCTCTTCGGGGAAAGAAACGGCCAGGCCTCCCGAAGCCCCTGGCCTGCTTGGCGCCGGGGGGCACAACGGAAAAACCGGAGTGGAGGGTGGAAGGACGACTCCCAGCAACCAAACGGCAAAGTAGGTCAAAAGTAGGTACCCCAAATGGCTTGCCCTGTGGCAACATGGACCAAAATTTGTGGTCCCCTGGTGAGGCAACCACGCCAAATACAGGGAAACAATGCTGGAAAAAGGGGAAAACAGCGCCAAGAATGTGTAGAGAAGGCACAGCTCCAGCCACAACTAAATGGGTGCGGCCGCCTTGGTCATGAAATTACATGCTTCTGGGTAGACCATTTAAATGCCGGGTTTTGATTGTGTGTTTGTGAAGGAAGATGAAGAGGCAAACGCAAGGGGACCCGTCAAAAGCGGGCTCTAAGAACCGGGTTCCGATCGCTTGCAAGGCAAGGTCAATCATGCGAAAGGAGTGCAAACAAAGAGATCTCCAACTTCCAAAAGCCTCCAAGCTAAACCCGCCGTTTTCGAATGCGCCAGAGGTCTGTTGACACTGCCTCCGCCAAGCGCGAGGTTCAGGAGGTGCGAGACAAAGCCATGGATATGGGGGGTTTGTCCATAGGTCTCCGTTTTAGGTTAGTTTGTTTAGAAATAGATGGGTTCCACTGGTTTAGATGGGGTTTCTTCCATTTACCAGGGGCCATCTATTTTTCCCAAAGGCCACCCATGGGTTCGCCTCTCAATAGGGAGCCCCAAAAAGGCGGGAAGGGGGCAACGTGGCTTGAGGGACTCCCCGGTGCCACGAAAGCAGCGGGGTGTTGGGTCCCTTTGTTTCCTGGGCGTCAGAAAAGATACATCCGAGATGGTAAAGGGAGCTCCACTTGCGAGTGGCCAAGGGACACCCTTTAAAGGTCGCCAAGATAATTTCACAGGGATTGGCTACTGAAGTATGCGGTCGCGTGATACGACCGACGGATACAGGTTTCGGTTCATTTGGGTTTGGCCCGACAGGGAGCCGATGCCCAAAGCCATAGCAGATTTTATTGATGCTCCACTTCGGTACATGGGAACCCCGGTTTCTGGTGTTGCGGCTCGTACTTGACCTGCCTCTTCTTGTTCGGCGCTCGAGCTGTTTGGCACCTGGGTCTGGCGGAGGTCCGACCCCTCTCGCTTGACCGACACTACTCCCATCCAACAGCGATCCTAAACTGCACACCCTGCCTGAACTAAATGCTAATCCCTTGACCGCCTTGACCAGACTTGAACTTGACCTAAGCCAACCCGAACCAATTTCGGGGCCGCGTGATCTCTTTGTTCAAGTGCAGATGGACGCTTCCCAGCTCGCTTCCCAGCTCACTTCCCAGCCCTCCCGAAGGGGTTGTTCCGACCATATGCGTCGGATGGTTTCGGGTCAGTTTTTGGTCGTGGGCCCCCATGGCAGACTACGCTGATGAATACTTTAGAGCCTCCGGCTCATTCCGCCGACTTCTGCTGCGGTGCCTGCATGAGTGGTGACATGTCCTTTGATTTTGATCATTGAAATATGTTCGGTTTCGATATGTTTGGGATATGTTTTGAGGACTCTGATGATTGATGCGTTGGGAGTGGGGAGTGGAGTGTGGAGTGCGGAGTGGGGAGTGGGGAGTGGGGAGTGGGGAGTGTGTTGTCTGGTGTGTGGTGTGTGTGTGTGTTGTGTAGTCTGTGGCGTGTGGCTTGTGTGGTCTGTGGTGTGTGGTGTGTCGTGTGGCTTGTGTGGTCTGTGGTGTGTGGTGTGTCGTGTGTCGTGTGTTGTGTGTTGTGTGTTATGTGACTATGTGTGTGGTGTGTGGTGTGTGCTGTTTTGGTGTGTGGTGTGTGGTGTGTGTGTGTGTGTGTGTGTGTGTGTGTGTGTGTGTGTGTGTGTGTGTGTGTGTGTGTGTGTGTGTGTGTGTGTGTGTGTTTGTGGAGTGCGGAGCCTGGGGTGTGGAGTGGGGACAAGCAAAACCCACACAACCCGCGCGAAACCCACAGACAACACCCAGCCAACATCACACACAGAACCAACAAAACCCTCCCAAACCCACACGAAATCCACACAAAGCTCACACAAAACGTTTCAACAACGCACACGAAAACCATTTAAACCCAACACAAAACCGCTCCAACACTAGAACAGACACCCAAACTTGTAATCCCATTTCTCAACAGCTGCGGCTCGCCAGGTGGTGATGACTCCGTTTCTGCAGCGCTACATGGCCTACATGGTTTCACTGGGCATCAACTTCGAGCAGGTGGCGCGAGACGTCGAGACATCTTTCGCGCGGCGTGGTCCGAAATGGCCACATCGTTGAAGCAGAAGCTCCCGGGGCCAAAATCGAGCGGCGAGCTTGACTTTTCACATGTTTTTTTTTGTTCTCCCCACATTTTAGGTGCGCTTTTCACCTGGTTCAATTGGAAACCAAGAGGAAGCCTGCCCAGTTTTGGTGTCAGAATCCGTATGTTGACACATGCCTTAAATCAACCTCCTCGAAACCTCCTTGAAGATGTGATTATTTGTTGAAGACTAATGGCCTAAATCTTTAAGCGGATACCAATGAACAGGGAACCCTTAAACAAACCTCAGCCAAGCAAACGGCCGACCTTTTGGCCTTTTGGTCTTGTAAAAGGAAACCCTCCCTCCCACTAACATGGCACCCAACAATCCCTGCAAGAGGACAGTTGTCTTCCAGGTACCCTCCCACAAATGCAATGTTAGTGGGAGGAAGCTAAAACTTTTATTTCCGGGTGGCAAGTGAGAAAAACACTTTGGCGTGTCTTTTTTGTTAAGGCTTCCTTTTGAGTTCCCTTTGCAACCAACCATTTTGGGGGGTTCCAAAAACAATGACAAACCCATATATATATATATATATACATATAGTGGATGGACGAAATCCATTTCGCGCCACTTGGAAACCATGGAAAAACATTTTGGTACTCACAAGAGAGCCATCCTTCCAGGGAGGGGCGGGCTGTGCGTCCCCCAAAAAAGAAGATCGCCACGCCCACCGTTTAAAGGGCGTGTTGTTTTGCGGGCATCCTTGTCACCGGTTTAAAGGGACACCACAAGGAGCACCCCCCATTGAGCCCCACGACGAAATTTATATCGCCAGCTCGGCTTCGATTTCGCAGGCGCGGGGCTCCGCCATGCGGACGTTGCGCAAGCACGTGGAGCTGCTGGGGACCAGCTACGAGGAGAGTTTGAGCGGTCGAACATCCGGACTTCGGGCGTTCCTCGCTAGACGTGGGGGTTGATCAAAGGGTCCTCGTACAACGCTGCAATCGGAACGCTTGAAGTGGGGGTTGATCAAAAGTTTTCTTGTTTCTTTTTTTTTCTTCCCAGTAAAACACTGCAATAGGAACCATTCTGATGGTAGATGTCCATCCCCGTTAACCCGAAGTAAAGTTGTCTGATGAGAAGGCCATTGGTCGGAAAACCACAAAACAAAATTGATATGTCCCACATGGGAAATATTACCCATGGTCCTTTGGGGGCCAGGAATATTGATCAACACCCACGTGGGTTTTTCGAGGGGGCTTCTCTTTTAAGGAGGTTGCTTTAAAGGGCAAACCAAAGGCATACACGTTTTCCCCCCTCTTCATACCCAATGTGCGACTGCATGTAGGGTTCCTATACGGATAGAGGCCTATTTGCAGCTCATCACGCACGACGAGGCTGCGCCAAGGCGAAGGGCCTTGCGAGAGCAGTCCCAGGATCTCCGTTCGGGCCACGTCAGCAACGTTAGGGCTCCCACATAGTCAGCCCAGTTTTCTGGGGTGCCTTCCATTTTCTTTTCTTTTTTTTTCTCCATGGATCCTTCTTTCCGAGAAACCTCCGGAAACCCAATTAAAAGGGATCCGGTTTTGGGAAAGAACGATGGTCAAACTGAACGGCAAAAGGAGCCAACCCCTAGAAGTTTGGCCTGAAACTTTCGGCTGAGGATCGAAGCAGAGGTGGAATTGGTTTGGGACCCGTTGAGTACCAGGTGACTTGGCGGGTCAAAACCGTTGTGGTTGATCCCATTTTGGTTGGTAGGTGAGAAACACCACCCATTTTGGAACCTATTTTAGTTGAACCAATGGTACCATTTTGGGGTAGGTGAATTCACCACCCAAATTTTGGAACCTTTTTTTGGTTGGGAATTGGGATGTTCACTGGTACGATTCGGCTTTTGACCCATGGCCATTTTGACTCGCAGGTGATGGCTTTGCTGTCAGGTGCGTGGCTAAGCTTCGAGCTTTGCCAAGTGGCAATTGGGAGATGCTGCGGGAAATTCCGCATTGCAGGTCCCGGAACCGATGAAAGGGCCATTCTGGTAGATGGTTCAGCTACCTGGGTGTGCACTTTTTCGAGGGTACCCTTTCCTTTGCGGTGTTAAATGGACACCAAAAGGACAACTACCACTTGGGGGTCCCGAAAAAGAGACGAGCCACCCATCCAGTTTCATGGGTAGGCACAGCAGAACCAACAGTCGATGGGTTTTGGGTGCGGTCACGATTCCTTCCGCTCCGGCTCAAAGCAAACCGAGTGCTTGCTTGAGTTAAGTTAGGCAACTGAGGTGGCGGAGCCATAGCGAAGTGGGCCGTGACCCAACCCGTAACCCGCAACCCGCAACCCACCCCCTACATGTGAGGCATTCGCCAACTTGGATGAATTCTTTTGCGCCTTCATGCCCGGCTAGCAGTTCAATCCTTCGATTGGTCTACACAGTTCAAGCTCTATTTGACACCAGCACGTTTCAGGCAAGAAGCGCATTTAGAACAGCAGTTAATGGGCGCGCTTGGTGGCGGACAATCATGTTCCATGCGTGGACAGGTCAGGCTCTCAGCGTCTGGGTTTGAGGTTCACCTTCTCACCACTTTGTTCCTGTAGGTGACGAGAATGTTCGCCGTTGAGGGCGGGCTGTGACGTCTGAAGGATGTTGCGGCAGGAGGAGCCAACCTTGCAAAGCCAGGGAGGGAGACAGAGAGAGAGAGAGAGAGAGATGGTTGGTAGGTTTTAAAGGGAAACGAAAGGACAGCCGACGCCATTTAGGGGGGTCCAACTCAACAAAACTAAAAGATACACACCCCAATAGTCATTGTTGAGTCATTTTTCCTTGGACATGTTGTTATTCCCCGATATGCCTTTGTTTGTGTTTGTTTGTTTGTTTGTTCGCTTGCTTGTGTTTGTGTTTGTGTTTGTGTTTGTGTTTGTGTTTGTGTTTGTTTGTTTGTTTGTTTGTTTGTTTTGTTTTGTTTTGTTTGTTTGTTTTGGGGGGACCAACCTAACAAGACTAAAAAAGCAACACACCCCGATACGCCTTTTGTTTGTCGGTTTGTGGCTTGGACCTTTCGGCTGCCAGGAGAGTGCCTCGAAGGAGGCTCTGCATTTCGCCGAGGCGGGAGTGAGCTCGAGCGCACCTCTTGAGATGTGGACGAAGCCCGTAGGCACCACTTGAAGACCATATGGGAGTGTCTGTCTTTTTTTGGGGTTTATGGGGTTTCCCATTTCGATCTTGTAAATGAAACCTGGCAGAGGGTCCCTTAAAGAGGAGTTTGATCTTCTAGGTACCCTCCCGCAAATGCAATGTTAGTGGGAGGAAGCTAAAGCTTTTATTTCCGGGTGGCAAGTGAGAAAAACATATGGGCGTGTCTTTCTTTAAGGCTTCCTTTTGGGTTCCCTTTGCAACCAACCATTTTGGGGGGTTCCCCTAAAAGAAGGACACACCCATATACACATATAGTGGATGGACGAAATCCATTTCGCACCACTTGGAAACCATTGAAAACCATTTTGGTACTCACAAGAGAGCCATCCTTCCAGGGTTTCTTAGGTGGTGCGAAATGGATGTCGTCCATCCATCAGTGCTCTCTGACCCACGTTGCCATGGCACCTGACAGAGGGTCCCTTAAAAGAGGAATTTGATCTTCAGGTGCCCTCCCACAAATGCTACCGTAGTGGGAGGAAGGTGCCCTGCTATAGATTCGCACGGAACCCAACGCACCATTAAAGTAGAGGAACCCCTTCCCCAGACTAACATGGAAGCTTCCAAGACCCCTTGGGAAGACTTGGTTCCATTTACAGAGCCCTCCTGGGAGCGTCCATGGAGTGTAGTGGGAAGGGCACCCCGCTGCAGATTGACATGGAACCCAAACCACCATTGAAGTAGAGGAACCCCCTCAGTCTTGTCGGGAAATGGAAACACTGTTGGGTTCCATGGAAAAGCAATGAGGACTTCCCTCTTCAAAAGAGCGCCCGGTGGCCAAATTGACATGCGCCATTTATGGGTGCGGCCGCCTTTCAATTTCCTTACACGCATTTGGGTGGAGCATTTTAATACCAGTGACTCACATGGACAAATTGGAAAGCGGATAAAGAACAACCCGAAAGGGCCTTGAACTGTGTTCGATTGGCCGTGCTTCAAAAAGACCTAATTCATTTGGGCGGTGTCTCATTTGAGATTTTGCCACTCCACAGCAAGAAAACTCAGCTGTGCATTCCATTGGGGAGGAAAACATGGCATAAGCAGGACACCCACCCCCCAGAAAGGTTCTCAGAACCCTTCAATCAGATCTTCCGAACCCTTTCTGGTTGGCCCTATTTCCTCAGACACGCCATCGGCTACCCCGCAAAGATTTTAGTGTTTCCCCTTGTCCCCCCGAGAAGACACCACACAATCCATTTAAACTGGTTGCTGCCCTTTGGGCATGGGTCAAAATGAAACCACCAGCGGAACGCAGGTTTTAGTCCTTGTTTCCCATTTGCCCGGGTTGCATGTGGGGTCTCTATTTTTGACTCACTGCCTTTTAAAGTTTTACCTTTGGTTTGACTGCAACCAGTGTTTCCCTTGTCACCCCTAAAAGACGCCGCGAAATCCATGTAAACTGGTTGCTGCCTTTCGCTTTCACTGGCCCCGCCCATCTAAGGGAAGGCCCGGAAAAAAAAGAGAAAGAGTTCGGATCGATCCGATCCCCGCCGTTCAGGTCTCCGCCGGCGGCGCCTTGTTCCGGGAGTTGGCAGGCGCGGATGCGCTGGAGATGCAAATGGGCGCGCGAGGCGGCCCAAAAACGGCGGCGAAGGCCCAAAAACGGCCCGCCCATGGCGGGCCGTTTTTGGTTTGGGCTTTTTGCCCATCCCGGACGCGGAGGTTCTCTGCTTGAGAACCTCCGCAAAAGGGAAGTTGTTGGTGGGTTTTCGCGGCTCGTTGCGGGAAATTGAAGCCTGATTAGAGTGCCAAAGCTTGCCCAGAGAGCAAGAGAGCTGCGCCCATGAACCCATTGTAGGAAGCAACCAAAGGCCCCGCCAGGGAATGTTTGGGAGGAACCTTGGTAGAAATGGAGCTTGGGTTCTGCATCATTCTGGTGGTTAGGTGGTTCCAATGATTGTGAGTTTGAGAAGCCATGCAGCCATCGTTGGGCTTCACGAGAGGCTCAGCGCAACGGTCGGTTCGCCGTTTTGCGGGCCTTTTGAGCGGTCCCATTGAATCGATGTCATCGAGTCCTGGGGAAATCCTTTGTGCGGTTCCAGGAGATGGGCTGCTGAAGGATGAGAAGCTGATTGAGGCCGTGAAGAGATAGATAGCAACGATCTGCCCATGTTCATCGTCGACCGTAGCAAAGGGGATGCCAAAGTGCCATGAGGAGAATATTTGATCCCTTCCCCGTTTTTTACTGTGCGGGACCTCCCCCGCAATGCAAATATTTGCCTGGGGGCGGAACAATATTTATTGATAGGGGACCAAGGAGAACCTCCGCTCCAACTGAGGTCCCCCCCCCTTCTGGGCTCCAAAATCATTGACTGATTGCAGGGGGAAGAAATGACTCACCAAAGTCCAATGGTTGCGGACAAACCAACGATATTTTTACCATGGCTGATGTGAGGGAGAACTTACGGTGAAAGGGGCGCCGCGCTTGGGTGGTTCAACCGGGAAAGTTGTGAGCTTGACCCTTGGCAGTCCGGCTTCCTTGCCGCAAAACCAGTCAGTTTTTGCAGGCATTCTGGACAAAATGCGGCTAGTACTACTAGAGGTCCGCAAAAAGTCATGCACGGTTTTGATAGGGTAGGGGAAGGTTCGCAGGCAGCTGAGGATATGACAGCTTGACTGCGTGTTCTTTGTTCCAAACACCGCGCGTGGGCAGGGCAAGATCTTTCCCAGCAAGCAAGGAATGGCACGTTCTTCACTGTTCTTGGCAAGTCTTTTTGGCTGCAAACATCATGTTTTGTGCTACCATACCAAGGGTTGTGAAGTATTGGCTGAGTAACGGCGCAGGCTCTGACCATTTGAGAGATTGCTTGCCAGGATGCGGCAGCAGCCTTGAGCGCGGCATCGAAGAAGGCGTTGAGCGCAGCTTTTGATGAGTTTTTGTGCAGGGATGACAGAGACAACGGGATTCCAGGGTTGCGTTCCATATGCTTTCTCTTAGCTGTTGCTGTGTTGTTCACAATGTTGTGGACCAGGCTGCTGTAGCTGTTGCGGTCACTCACTCTCTGCATCTTTTGTGGTTGCTATATCTTTTGCTTGCGGTCACCAGAGCAGCCGCGGCTGTTCTTGTTGTTGCAGCGGCAATTGCCAGGAGGGGGGCGGGGGGGGGGGGGAAACTCCCACTCAAATTGCACTGCCAGGTTGCTCCGTATATTCGCGGCAACATGCGCAAGTTAGAAAGCGTTGCAGCGAGTGACGCAAGTGCGCGGACCTCGGTTTCAGCGCTCACAGGCATTTTTGGTATCTAACTTTTCATTGATTTGATGATTTGTATTTGTCAAGTGATGTTTGGCAAGCAATCCAAGCCGCCAAGAATCGACAGCTACCATACCAGTCGCCAGCACTTGGTTTGGCTTCCTCATACATTTCTTTCGTTTTGGTCGCCGATTCAAATAGAGTTTCCTTTGGCGCGATGTGTAAGGGGAGCAATGTGGCTATGAATTTCAACAGTGGTTCAACAGGGAAATTGTGGGCATTCTGGACAAAGTGCGGCTAGTACTACATGAATCCCCACCAGAATGATGTCCAGCAAAAGGGTCCCCTATTCAAAACCCATGGGAGGTAGCGCCGCTGGCCGGCCTTCTTCTGCGCTTTCGGAAACGGAACTGAGGCTCGAGTCGCAGAGAGTCTCTCCTCCGAAGGAGACGAGAGAAGCGCACGGGGGGGTGTTCTGAGACGCCCAAGGCTTCTTAAA